AAAAAAAAATTAAAAAAAAAAAAAAGAAATGGCCAACTTACATATGTTGATCTGTTTTGCACAGTAAGAGGGAAACCTTTTACCCGGGCTGTGGGGCCCCGTCACGTCTGCAGCTGTGGTGTAGTAGAAAGAACACTCGATTTGAAATCCGAACAACTAGATTCAAAGCCAAGCCCTGAGGCCATTTAAGTGTTCTGTGCCTTGGTTTTCCCGTCTGTAAAGTGGGCCTAGTCGTACAGGCTGGCTGTGAGATTAAAGGTTAAGGTAGAGAAAAACACTGTGAACCACAAAGCATTTAGCAAATGTGAGGATTCTTTTTGTGAATGCTTTATTTACATTGATATGGTTAGGTCCTTTCCCTTTTCAGATTCAGACTTAGCACAGTATGAAGAGAATATCCACACTGGTGGACATCTGAGCTTTGGGACTGACTTGCGAGCTCCTCATGTGGGTTGCTGGGCAAAAGGGTGGGGAGAACAAGCAGCTACCCACATAGAAGGCCTGGAGGAGAGGGAAAAGGCCCTTCTTCCTCTCTACTCTGCCACCCTCATCATCCGGTCACAAACACAACCATTATACCCTAGGAGAGAAGAACTCCTTAAATTTGTGTAGAGCCTTACAGCTCACAAAGGCCAAGTTTGTTCTCTTGGCCATACTGTAAATAAGCAGCTACTACAGGGTTACAGAGGAAGGAAGTGCCAAGGTCCTAGGATTAGTAATTGGCAGAGCTGAGACCCTAATGCAGGTTTCAGAGAATTCGCAAATGACCTGCAATTGATTTGATTAGCGTTGGGAAAGCAGAATGCAAAGCCCAGATCTCGGAGAGACGGCCCCTGACCAGGTCAGTTCTAACGGGGCGGGGCAGCGGCCTTGGGAACGATTGTTTGCATTCAGGTGGTACAGAGGGGCAGGGGGCATAGCTGGGCGGGGGGCACTGGGGTCTGGCATGCTAAGGAACAGCCTCATCAGAGATGGGGCGACTTGGTCAAGAAGCAAGAATCTGTCCACTGTCGCTTTGGGCTGGGGTCCTGACCAGGGTCTCAGTCAGCTGCAGACACAGTGAGGCTTGCAATTGTTGAGAGAGTGGGAGCATAGAGTCTTTGAAAAATTAATTGAGGAAGCCCAAGGTGAGAGAGCGGAGGGGCCCCCGATGGGGTTTGGAGCCCAGTGAGGGTCTCGGGCCAGGCCGCTCTCGCGTGGCTGTTCGACACTCTGTGGTTCTCACCCATCACCTAGAGGGCGTTTGTACTTTTGGTTTAGTTGGGCCATGTTGAAGATGTTCCTTATTCACTCTTTGCACTAACTCTAAACCACTCAGGTTGGATATCCACCTAGAAAACAGGGTTCTTCCGTTCATGAAAGTGACCTCTGGTTGTTTAAAATGGGCACATTCCTGCAACACACATGTTTGCAGGGTTATTCAACAGCATCTTCACGGCAGCCTTCAGGGGACAGCTGGTTGCATAATTTTACAAACCTCCAGCTTAACAAAACTTCTGTCAATCCTATCATCTAGAATTCGAGGAAGTGGATCGGTTTCATCATCTGCGTATCACGTTCATTAAGCTCTGATTTGGAAATCCCTGTCCACTGGGTTTTACCATGTCCTTGTTTCGGGTACTATTTGTCCGGGCTTGTGAGTTTCGTAATGGAATGGGTCAACATCCAATCTTGCCTTCTCCTGTCGGTGAATTTGAGCCCTGCTTCCCACTGCCTCGGGTCAGCCAGCGTGGGCCACACAGGGGCTGGTGTAGGGGGGAAGGTGGGAGATGGGGGGGTGCCTCGGCTGGGCTGCAGTAGGGGGCGTGGCTACATTTGCAGCATTTCCCTCCAAGCAGTTGCTTCACATTCCTCTCTGTCCTCGAAAGAGTATAATGTGTGCCAGGAGAATCTCCCCCTGAAAAGGGGGAACTAAGAACCCTGGCTGCGGTATTTTGACATTATTACTTAGCGCTCACAGGCGCGGGAGAAATGGAACGTGCTAAAACAGGGAACATGATCTCATTTGTTGTTAGGAAAACGATTGTGGGACAGATGGAGCCTCGGGACTTTCTAAATACTGATGGTGAGGAGGAATTTGGGGAGTTTGGAGTGAGTTTTGGAATTACGCTCTGCCTGAATAGAGGATTCTTACTTGGTTGCACATTTGCACGCTGCCTCATTCCAGTGAGGATTTGAGGCCGCAAGCAACAAGAGTTGCGTGCTCGCCTGTCAAAAAAAAAAAAAAAAGCCCGAGCGCTGGGTTAAGAGGAGTCATGCTGTGGAGCGTGGAGAAGTCGACATCACTGAGGAGTGATGCAGAAAGCAGGCTTGAGCTTGTCACCAGTGAGCGCACACAGACAGGCTGGGACGGGAGGAGGAGGTCGGCAGACCCACGAGTCCTCCTTGGGCGCTGAACAGGCCTTCCTCTAGCACCTGCTGTGGCTTAAGCCCCTCAGGGAAGGGCGCCAGGAAGAGGAGGCGGCCACCGGGCTTTGCTGGTTTCTCACCTAGAGGGGGGTGCAGGCATGCCGGGGAGAATCTGCCCGTGGCCTTGGACAGCGTGACTGGGGGTGGGGGTTGCGGGGGGGAGGGTAGGAGGCTGTCGGGGAGGCGGGTTCCGTGCCCTGCACCGAGGACACCCTGCCGCATAGACGATGCAGGACTCCAGAAGCACTTTGAAGACCAGATGGGCAATAGGAGAGCAAGAGCACTTTAGCCGGAGTACTCTGGAACCGTGTCTGACAGACGTGCTGTGGGGGCAGGAGGGGAGCCAAGCGCCCCTCGTTTTGCTGGTGAAACCCATTAGAGGGTGAAGGGTTGTGTCTGACCCCGCGCTGCTTCCCGAGCTCTCCCCGCGGTCTAGAAGTTTCGAAAGGCCGCTGCTCGGCTCCCGCCCTGCCTGGCCCCGCTCCGTCCGCTCTGCTGCAGCTGCGGCTTAGCATGAGCTGCCGGCCGGTCCTCTTCCTGACCCAGGGAGTGTTCACATCCTTGCTGTGGGCCGAACCAGTCCGGAGGCAGCAGACACCCCACCTCTGCCTCCTACCAGCTGGACCGCCTGGGGCACATTCCACAGGTTCTCTGGGCTCAGGCCTCCTCCTCTGACCCAGGAGAAGGGAGGGGGGAGGGTGAGTCGCCAGCTCCTGTGACCGCCCTGGCGGGCCCGAAACACGTGGTCGAGAAGGTGCCCCTTCCCTCTCGATGTCTCACTGCATCTACCAGAGGGCTTCCCATCGGGGTCCTTCCATGGGGACAGGAAGGAAATCCTAATTATGCGTCCCCGTCCCTCCGTTGCTGACTAGGATAAAGAGTAGTTCAGATGCAAACCGGGTGGGTTTAGGGTGGTTCTTGTGGGGCGGGAGGCCCTCTCAGAAGAGCTGCCCCGAAAAGAGAGGGGCCCGAGAAACCTCTTTGCATGTTTGCCCAGTGACCTTCCCCCTCCTTCTTTTGAGGGTTGGGAAGCTGAAGGCGCAGGCTGGCCTCCCTTTCTTCCCTTTTGTCACTGACCCCGAGCCGTCAGGCATTTAAAATCAGAACGGCTTCCTGGGCCTCGAAGCCTTGCTTCGGGCAACGGTGCCTTCACTTGAATAGCCCTGGACACTTGGCATCCAGTATCCACGCTGGAGGCTCAAGGCAGGCGGGTTTCATGGGCCCCAGTTTTCAGGTGAGCAGTTGAGGTTGGGCTTGGCTCCCAGCCTAGAGGAGATCAGTCTCCCATTTGCCACTGTCGTTCATTGCACTTTTCAGAACCAAGAGCCGCTGAGAGAGGAAGACTCGGATTTCATCCTGACTGAGGGCGACCTCACCCTGACCTACGGGGACAGCACAGTGACTGCGAACGGCTCCTCAGGCTCCCACACGGCCTCCACGAGCCTCGAGGGCAGCCGGAGAACCAAGAGCAGCTCGGAGGAGGTGCTGGACCGAGCCCTGGGAGCAGGAGACCAGCCGGTGTCAAGCCGGGGCACGCGCCTAGTGTTCCCCCTGGAGGATAACGCGTGACTTGTCGCGTCCCCCCCACCCAGCCCCAGCCTGCCGAGATGGGGGTGCAGTGAGGACGGCTGCAAACCCCAGGCTTGTCCAACTCGGGGCACTGACTGAGTGGAACTAATGCTTCTGTTTTATTGAGGTCTGAAGCTCTCTTAACATTTAAAGTTTAACCCAAGAGGCAGAGGGTGGGGCTTAGGTGTCTCTCAATCAAGACAAACGCAGACGTATTCCCACTTTTTCACATAGTAGTGCTGTTCAGAGTCAAACAAACAAATAGCATGCTTTAACGGTCTGACTCATTCACCTGCAGAATCCGAGCAAGCTGCGGCAGGTGTGGGGAGGCCCCCCCAGGAGAGGTTTCAGGTCCGTACACAGCAGCGCAAACCTAGCTGGCTGCGGGAATAGCGAGGTGGGGGCGGGAAGAGCAGGCCAGACGAAGGATCTCGAAGGAAGGCAGCTGAGATTGGACCTCCGAAGATGATGGGAAGCCCGTGGTCACGGGGACAGAACTCAGGAGGAAGCAATCTGAGCGCGGAGGCCCTCGCACCGAGGGCTGCAGGACCGTGATGTCAATGATCAGGCTTCTGGACTTTCTGCACTACCTGGGTTTCCTGTAGATTGAAGATCAGAACTCTATCCATGAACATTTCAACATGGGGAAAGAATTAGAATTCCTTCTCTGGAAATCTCCAGAAAGAAGTAGCTACTGAAATGTTTAAAACCAAAAGCAAAATCGTGTTTTACTGTTGGGTTTTTAAAATTAATCCGAGGACAGGAGAAACCGTTTAGAGACTGATGACAAAAATCAGTCAGTTCTTCAGGGCTACCATGGAGATACCTACTGCGGGGTTTAGGAATAACACCCAAATTTGTGGGATGCTTCTATCTGGGGACGAGAGAGCAGCAAGGAGCCTAGGAGGCAATAGGCTAGTGTTCAGAGGGGGGGAAAAAAAAAAACCACACTGCAAAAAAATTAACCACAAAACACAAGATACTGTTCTAAAGACCGAGTAGAAGTCCAAATTTTGAGCTACTAAATGCATGAGATTTCCGTGGCCGGGTGAGGCATGAGAGGCAAGTCAATGGAAAATTGAGCATCATTCAGTCCAGTGGACAGTTCCGTCTGCTGTAAGATTAAGAATCCAGATGTCTTAACACTGAGTGCCACGTAGAGAAGGGTCATTTTCTTGGTATCTGGGGAGGCTTGTACCAGCCTAATGTGTGAGCATGGTTTGAAATGTAGGTTCTGAGTTGGGGTTCTCTGTGGGTGAGCTCTTCTAACTGCCCACACCTGCGGTAGCTAAAATACTGAGAGAGCTCTTGGAAACCAAGTTTGAGATTCTCCCTGTGTCTCTATGCTTCAGTGCTGGTGTATTTGAAAACCCAATCTCTAAAAAAAAAAATGCTTTCAGAAAATGTGGGCATTTTTCTTCTTGTGGCAGACAGAATAGTGGCCCAGTCGAGTACACCCATAATGAAACCAGCCATTTAATCTGCTTAACGCACATTTTTAATGGTTAATATTTAGATAAGACATTACACTTTGCTTTTTGAATTGAGAATTTGTGCAAAACAGGCAAAAATTAAGTTGAGCCATATGAAATTGCCGATATTGAACCAGTTTTCAAAAACAGAAATGGCAGTTTTGTATGGTTTGAGATAATATAATTAAATGATTTTTATTCCCCTCTTTCCTTTCTATGTACCCTAAAGTCCATTTTGATTTTATCATGGGCATCCGTGGGCTCTGTAAATGAGCTAAACCACCCATCTAACCCCATGAGACTCCGAATTCCCTAGGCTGGTGAAGGACTTATGAAAACCTCTGAGCCAGAGCCAGAGAAACAGCTTTTTTTTAGAGAGCCCCTGGACGGGAGGTCAGTATGTCGTGGGGTCAGAGTGCAGAGAGCATCTCTCAGGCTTGGCAGATGTGCCCAGAACCAGCACAGGTTTTATTCAGTAGAGTTAATCTCAGTAATGACCAGTCATGCCTATAAACTCGAAAGGTGAGGAGGCTTTTGTGTGTGTCTGTTATTTGCAGAGGTGGAGGGATAGGCTGGCTGGTCAGCTCCTTGGCTGGGTCTTTATAAAGCCTTGCTCACCTCTTACGTTGCTTACTTATTTCGGAGGGAAGAAGCTAACAGAAAAACCCTGACAGGGTTCTTGAAAAGAGCCAACCGGGGAGGACCCACCCTCTCTTCATTCAGGTCAAGGCTTTGTTGTCATTTTGGTTTTCCAGGAAGCTTTCAGCAAATTAATAAGAAATTACCCTCACGAGGAGGAAAAATAACCAGAGTTCTCCAGCCTAGTCCTAAGTCAATCCATAGATCGTTGTGTTTTCTCCCAAAAGGGTCTTGTAGGCTTGACTGCAAACGTTTTATTTGGACCTACTTAAATCTAAGTAAATGGAGATTTGCCAAGATCAGAATTTTGCTAGGGTTGTAGTTATTTGGTTGGATTTTTTTATTCAGTGGATCGGAGTAAGTCACTGACCTGTGGTCCTAATTTTTGTTTGCAAGATATGGAGAATAATCCTGACCTTACCAGGGGTCCCAGGAAAGGAGTCTGTTCATCGAAATGCTTTCACCTTCTAGAAGCTTTATGCCTATGCTGAGAGGGGAAAAGTAGGTGTCACGAAGCTGCCAAACCATCTAACTCAAGGCTCTCTGCTGTCAGTCTGGCATAAATCAGATTGAAACTGCTGAGTGCATCCAATTTAACCTCTTAAACATACCCGTTCCGGGTTGGGTGGGGGGGATGAGGGTTCGGAGCTGGATGTTCTAGAACACAGGTTCTCAACCCTGGCTGCACAGTAGGATTCTCTGGCTAGTTTTGTTTTTTTTTTTAATATCAGTGCAAGGGCCCTGTGCTCAGAGATTCATATCCAGTAGGTTTGGAGTGGGGCCTGGCTTCCATGCTCTGTTGTGGATCTTCAGGGATTCTAGTGGGCAGCCAGGCTTGAGAGCCTTTTAGTCCAGAACTTGCAGCAGACCCTGTTTGGAACCTTAAAGAATGGCCTAGCAAACTAAGTTTCCTTTCATTGGTAGTCCTCTGGAACAAACCGAGTGTTGATCAATCAATACAGCCCGGACAACTGTGAAAGAGTTTCATGCACATCATCTTTGCAGAACTCTAGAACATACTCCGTAAAGTACAACCAGAAACGTCACATTTGAACACCTTCGTGCAGGAAAGGGAGAGACGGGTGACTTGAGTGGATGGATTGGGTTGTTGCGGGGCGAGGGGTTAAAAACCGTCCTCTTTGCCCCCTTTCGTGGAAAGAAAGGGGTTGGGTCTTAACAAAGTAGCTGACCATCAAGTGTGAAGGCTTTGGAGAAGCCGTCTTTTCAGTATAACCTGGGATTAAACGGAGTCCCCTTTGCAGTCCAGTCAGCTTGCTTTCTGGTCACACTTAGCTTGTCCCCAGGCCCGAATCCCTGCTGGACTCCTCAGGAGAGGGGTGGGCCCATTTAATGCCCAGAGTAGAGGCCTCGGGGTAAGGGGTAGCCCATGACCACTTCAAGGTCATGAGGCAGTGGTGTCGGCAGACTTCTGCGTGGGGCCGGCAGCGGGGCGGTGCGGACTCCAGCCGTGCCTTTTCATATTCTCTTTGGGGACTACAAGGAGACCTGAACTTTGTCTCCTGGAGAAGGAAATCTGCGCCACTGAAATGAGGCTGCAAATAGAGGAAGAGGGCAGATGCGATTCCATGGCCTCTGCCCATCCAGGGTACTCCCTGGGGCGGCCAAACCAGCCCCGACGCCTTGCAGCCCCAAACCCGCACTGCAACATCAAATGTCTCGTCAGGCAAACAGCAAGGAGCTTTCCGGCTGTGCTCTCTAGACCTGAAAATGTCCTCCGTGGTTTGGGGGACAAATGAAGTCTCCTTAGAAAACATGAAAAAGGTTCTCTCAGCTGTCCACGAACATGTCAGTCGAGGGCGATTTCCTTCCAGACCGGAGGGCTGTTTCATGACACACACATTCCCTCCCCCCCTGCCCCCCCAGGTCTCTCTCTCCTCTTTGCCTGCAGGGGAAGTCAATGTCACCGTGTCAGGTACCTTAATATGAACAGAACCATTTCCAAACGTGGAAACGGCACTGATGCCCTGAGGGGAGACTGGCGGCGGTCGAGGCCACCGAGCAGCTCAACAGAGGGAAGACTCATCCTCTCGGGCCCCTAGCTTGGTACCCGTCGTGAGTTCTCAGAGGTGCACCGCCAAGCTGCTTTTCCCATCTGTTGTAAGATGTCATCTGGAACGAGGGCTTCTGGAAAGTCAGCTTGCTGATTCAGTAAGTACGTGACTTCTTAGTCCCCTTCAGAAATGGGGAACTTGACGAGTTTCATACCCGCCTCTCGATGCTGATTCTGTAGATGAGTTCGTGTAGGAGTGCATCTGTCACGTGCATCAAAGCGGTACCACTGAGTTCTGGTGTCTTCTGTTGGTCTCTCCTCAAGTGTCAGATGCTGTACTCCGCTACAGTGAAGCTGAAGGAAATCTAATGGCCAAGAGTTAGGAGCAGGGCGCCTGGGTGGCTCAGTTGGTTGGGCGACTGCCTTCGGCTCAGGTCATGATCCCAGGGTCCTGGGATCAAG